ATGTTAGTCGTGACGTCAGACCTATCAGTTCCCACTCTCAAAGCCCACAGTGGATTCTAAGGCAACGGTCACTATCCAGAAAGCCTCGGGACCAGCATCGTGCATTCACTTCAAAGTCTCAACCAGCGAGACCTTCTCTTCTATGCTTCTTAAATGATGCAACCAAGCGTCGTTCTTCTTCAACCTCAGCTTCAACTTTCCTTCGTTTGTTATCTAAATGTTCTTCTATATAAACGCCCAGGTGTCTCCCAGTTCTCTCAACATCCCTAGTTCCACATCAGCATAAAGGATCCGGCAGCAACTGCCCCCTCTGAAAATAGGCAAGGCTCATGGCAACACACCGCTAGATGACCTGCAGAAATTTGTCGAAAAAATTTTACCCCGTCAGAAAATAACTAGTGAACAACTATGGTATTAATTTTCTGGCCTTCTAGTCTACTGGCTCAGAGTACTGTCTCAAGTACTGTCTGGCCTTTGTTGAGGATCGATTTCAGTTCGTTTTTTGACTTGCATTCCCTGAAGAATGCGAAGAGGCCTAAACGTCAGCTAAGTAATGTTTTAATACTCTGGAAAGCTTGAATCAGCACAGTTACAATTATGGTATTTTTGCGAACTTTTAGAATAGCTCATTAGTTATGTCATTACAAAGAAGAGAGTGTTCCCCGATTCAGGGGAATGCCCTGTATCTGGAAACAGTGGGAGACTGGGGAAGCCTTAAATAATTTTCGAAGAGTATTTACCCAAATCGATCTCTCATATTCAATATCAGTAGATTTTCCAAACAATATGACTGGCAACTGTAAATATATATATAGCAAAAAGAGACCGTTTTGTTGAAAACTTTTCCAGTCATGGGTTACTTCCGCTGACGTTGTGAGCACCGGAATTGTTGTGACCTCTGTTGTAGAAGTTGTCAAAATGAACTGTCGTCTTTTGTCAGTAAGACTGTCCAGATGTTCATAGACAATCTCTTTTCGTTTGACGTTTCTCGTAGTCGTTATTATAGTCACACCTGAAAATTTTCTTCCTTCACTTCGTTTTCAGAGCTTCTTTAAAATTTTCATATGGAAAAAGGAAAATGAAAACGGCTGTATAGTAGGGCAAAAGAGAGAGTAATAAGGCTTCTTTGAAAATCGGAAAACCAACCGATTAGCGAGGATATCACAAATACGACGATAACATTTCGTGATATCCGGGAACGGACCATCCCAAATGGAGAACGATATCGGTTCAAATCATCTTCACATCTGGATCGATGTTATCGCTAGTATTATTTGGACGGAGAACATTGAAATGCATCTCTACCTTCTCTTGTGAATATGAGAACACTCAGACTGAGGATCCAGAACGTTTAATCCAGTCTTGAGCTCCTAGAAAAATATAACATCAAGGCAAGTAGCGGGTTGGTCGCACCTGTTAGTTTATTTAGTTGTTTGTTTACTTACTTGGTTTTCTTTCCCGTCCTGAACGGTCAGTTTTAAGAAAAAACAAAAGTTTGAGCCTTGTAAAGAAAAAGCGATTTCATTCACTCATGGACCTCCGAAACGTTCCCAAGCGAAGCTTGTAAATAGCCCTTATCAATCGAGAGAACGCCCCTCCCACGCGGTGGTGCTTTACTTGCTCTAAACATGCCAAGCACCAGCTGAGTGACTCTTACCTACTCCGACTGTTTTTCCGGCTTCCAGGCTGTCATAGAATAGGAATCCGAATTCAAGGATCAAAATCGCCCTCGTTGGAGGCGTTCAAACAACTGGGAAAAAGCCTCCTTCTCTTTCTATGTTAACTTATCCTCACTCTAGCCCTGTTTTCCTGGTATGTGGGCTGTCTTGAAATCAAGTTGGGCAGTTCTGCCCTTTCGTGAACTTCTTCAGTCTGTAGGAACTCTATGAGTACATGTAGATAGAGTGACAAGATACCTACAATCGGTTTCCCTCCGATTGCTTAGAGATAGCTGAGAAAGCTAAGGCTACTATTTCTATCTTCCATCGCAATATAAACGCCTGCAAATTAAGTAAATGCCTCACATATTAATGTTCAAAGTAACTCTGTGGTTGTTGAATGTTTATTGATTGTACTAAACGAAACATGGATAATATGTTTGGGCTTTAATCTAAACGGATTTCGTCGTTCCGAGCAGCCGGAATTCTCGGGGTTGTTGGTATTCTTGGATAGGTCTTTGTGAACTCTGAACTGGCTGGCTTCCACTGTTGATCTGCTGGAGCAGACGGGACCGATGAAAATCCTTGTTTTGCTTTGAGTGGTACTGTTTCGCCTTTCTTGTATTCAGTGCCACTGTAAAACGAAATCAACATTTGTGACAAAGAGAGCTGTTCTACTAGATGAGACTTACAATTAATTGATGGGAAATTTACATGAAAACAATTACGATAAGGGCACCGTCTACACAGAAATATTTATATTGGTTTTGATTCCTTCAAGTTTCCCCCAGGTATTTAGCAGTTGGTGTAAAACGGTACACCCAAAAGGCCCCTAGAGGAGAAGGCTCGAAATGCAATCTTTGGAGGGTATCATACGCTATCAGTAACGAAGTAGATTGGAGAATTATTATTACAGTAAGCTACAGTGATTTTGAGCGTCAGAATCCGATGTAAGCATGGCCCTGTACACAAGCGAGGCTTGCAGAGAACAAATGACAATGATGAAAGAGTATGGATGCAATCTTGAGATTCGTTTAGAAAAATCAATTACTTTCTTGTTTGGGCATATGGCTATGGGTAATCTCCGATCAATTCATTGTTAAACTCAGTGGAAATGAGCGAGAAAGGTAAAGTTATTCGAGTTAAGTTATCAAAACGATTGGCATATTGAGAAGGGTGAACAGGGTACTCTCAAACACATTTTTGGGGTGAGGAAAGAGGGTAGTCTTCGACGATTTTAGTGTTCGCCAGCCATAAATTTTCGGAGTGATTGACATCCATAAACTATAATTTCATAGCAAAAAGACCACCTACTCCGATTTCCATTCGTTGCAATGGTCGAACTGACAGCAACAGAAAGTTTCATATTTTGATTGCCAGTGACATCCACTCATCTGCAAGTTGGGATCGTTAAAGGCGAACATATGAACTGAGAGTTACAGGGTAATATCACGTAGAATTTTGAGGATTCACATTTCTATGAGGGTTTGTTGTTTTATGAGAGTATTACGGGTGGGTTGAAAGACCCTGCATTGTGCGGGTGGCTTATCAGATGCTCCTTCACAACCTACTTCACCGGATTTTCCCAGCAAATTCCATGAAAAAGACGGAAGACGATTCATATCAGGAACATTGGATATTATAAAGTTTTAAAAATTATATTCTAAAAAAAGTCCACAGTACTACAACTATTAGAGTAAGTTTGCTCGGTGTATGACAGAGCACAAAGGAATGCAAGCAATAGAGTCGATGTGGTTGTACCACATAGGTAGTATCACAAAGGAATGGTAAAAGAGTCGTAAAAATGTTCTGAACAGTACCGGACATTTTTCTTCCATATTGTGCTCATCAACAAAGGAGCTGCACTCACGACGAATTTGGTTCTTTCTCTTGTCAATCTTCTGGACACAGTAGTTCGAGATACCGCTACAGTGCTGAAAATTTCTCATGCAATCTACTGACTGCGATTGAATTCAAAGCTCTTCGACAAGGTCCTATTGAATGGTTTTATGAGTAAAGGAGAAGAACTAACTTTCTCCTCCGTTCTGGTATTGTTTGAGAGGCCTTCCAATGTCCCTTCATAGCATGTCAGTGCCGCTGCTGTGCATATAAGAGCGAGTACAAGGATAGGAAGACGCATTCTGTAATGATACTTTGCAATTTGCTATTACTATGAGGTGGTTCCATATAACGGAACGTACACAAGGCTATACTACAGAGCGACTCCAGCGTGGCCATTTGTACTGAGAGCTCTTTCTAACTTTCTTACCCATTTTTTATGCGTTTATGCATTCATCCTCAAGAACGACACCAAGAAAAACATAATTAGAAGAGGAAACCGTTCATCCCCACGCATAAAAACTAGTCTACTGCTTCTCAAGAATCAGAAGTGGCAGGAACTATCCAGATTATTCAGAGGTATTTTCCGAAAGAAAAAGGGAAAGCTTTTTTGCCCAAATTCTACAGATACGTGGCAGTGATATTGAGAAGTTCAGGGGCTTCCATCGCCCAGGCACATACGGCTGAGCTAGCATCTTGGGAGTAAAGCAAAAAAAGATGAGTAGAATGCATTAACTTCCCTCAAAGAAGATGTTCACCGAGGCAATTAACATTAAAGTTTGAACGTTTTTCAAAAACATTGCCTTGATCCTATGTTCTATTGGAGGAACAATTGGGAATTTCCACAGCAAAGATAAAAGAAATTTGTAAGAAAAAAAAGGTAGAATTAGTAAAAAGTGCTAATTGAAACCCAGAAAAAAGCTTAGTAGAGGACAAAGGAAGTTTGTTCGTGAGAAGTCATTTTTTACTGAAATCTGATCATCAATACAAATCGGTATGGCTGCCACTTTCAAACTACTTTTTAGAAGGTCACTTTTGATTTGATAAAAAAGACTGAAAAAAGTAATTTTACTGCAACGTAATCGCATTCAAGGCATGATCGCGTAATGAGGAATAAGGGTTGCGGTAAGCTTCTGTCTGTATAGGTCTAGCAGACCCAAAAAATTGACCCAAAATTCGTGAGGTTCTAAATGTTCCGCGTTGACTTCTCAATACAAAAGACTAGTGGACTTCTTCTGTGGAATTTGAACGAGAGAACAGAACGTAACAAAGCCAACAGCACATTGATGAGTCGCCGCAGTTCATATTGATGGAATGGATTGATGAAGGGGTTCTCGTCCTGTATCTTTCACACAAACACATAACTGTTGAGAACA